ATTCACAAATTTCTTGAAGTTTGGGTCTTCCAAGGGCTTCATTAACCTCTAAGGGAAGGGTGCATGAGGTTCATAAAGCTTTACCTCTTTGTTCTTCAATTTTTTCACTTTTGGAGTTGCACAGGCAGATTGCATGCAGTTTGCCTGTGCAAGTCAAATTTTTCAGCTTTTGCACTTTCTTCCTCTGCAACTGCTTTGCCCTCCTTTTCTATTGGATTTTTCTTGCTCTTTGGATCCTCCAACTCCTTCCCACTCCTCAATGTGACAGCTACAACCATGGTGTCCTTTGGATTCCTCTCAGTATTTGCTAGTAAAGTCCCAGGAATCCTACCTTGAATATCTGCCAAAGTTTGAGCCATCTGGCCTATTTGCCTTTCCCTAGCCAGCATAGATGATTGCATATTATTGTTGATGGCTAGCTATTGAGTGACAAATTGATCAAGACCCTTGAAATTATTGTCTGTTTTCTGCATATGAGCCAAAATCAACTCCTCCAGCTAGGGCTTCTTCTCTGGTTGAGGTTGCTGCTGTTGAAAACCAGGAGGTGAGATGTTTCGAACACCAGTTGGATTATTATTCGACCATGACATGTTGGGGTCATGTCTCCATTGAGGGTTATATGTATTTGAATACATACCACCCTGGCCTTGACTTCGCGGATTATTGATATATTGGACATCTTCCAACTGAGCAGCTCCCACTGGACACATATCCCTATGATGAGGACCCTCACAAAGTTCACATGAAACAACCTCCTCTTGTCTACCCAAAGCAATCTTGGCCAACCTTCGTTCGAGTGCATCAAACTTAGAATCCAGCTTTGCATCTATCTTGGCTTCTAGACTCGCAACTCTGTCTATCTGATGCAAGCCTCCTCTTCTTCGAATACTGGTCTCACTACCCCATTCAGTGGCTTCTGAACATATCTTCTCTACCAGATCATATTCTGCTGGTGCCTCCATGCTTGTGAACCCATTTCGAGAAGCATTATTCAGGGCATCCCGGAACTCCCTTCTGATTCCATTGAAGAAAATAATGATCACGTTCCAATCTTCAAGACCATGGCTTGGGCATCTCATCAATCGCCCCTTATAGCGCTCCCATGCCTCAGTCATACTCTCATCATCAGCCTGCTTAAAAGTAACAATCTCTTCTTGCCTCTTCATTGCCAAGGCAGGTGGGAAGTATTTATCCAGAAAGACCTTCTCAAGCTGAGCCCATGTCGTGATGGAACGTGGTGTTAAGTTCTGAAACCAGTGTGATGCATTCCCTATCAGAGAGAATGAGAACATCCGAAGACGAATTGCATCATCAGACATAGTTGGGCTCTTCATCGTATCACATTTGCTCGCGAACCGGCAAAGATGCTCGTGCGGATCCTCATTGCTAGCCCCCAAGAAAGTATATCCATTGGTGATCATGTTGATGAATGCTGGGGTAATCTCCATGGTTGCATCCCCAGCGGGAATGACAACACAGGAAGCTCGGGCTCCAGTCCGTCGATTCAAACGAGCTCTGATCGAACGATCCTGGTCTGCCATGATGACAGACTCAATGTCACGAGGTGGTGGTGTTGGTGTTGATGGTGTAGGGACGACAGGTGATGAAGCCTGCCCTCTATGTGTTAGGGAAGGCCTAGTAGTTGTGGTTGGCTGCTTCCCTAACTTGGCCTGCTTCCTGTTCTGTCGGCACGTCTTCTCGATCTCCAGGTCTAGTGGCAATAAATCCCTGGTTGTCCTCCTAGGCAAGCACGAGGAGGATAAACCTGAAAATTCTTCTGCACACTAACACCCAGATAGAAATAGTTCACTCACAAAAATCAACAAAAATAAGGTATGACAGTCCCCGGCAACGGCGCCAAAAACTTGATAGGGCAAAAGCGTATATGCCTCAATCCTATCTCGTAGTAAAATGGAAAGTCCGGATATCGTCTCTCAGGGACTGGTACCACCTGTTATTCTATCAATTTATAGAGCAAACTATAGGTGAAAATGGTTTAATGAGACTAATTATCTAAAAGAAAAATAAACTAATTAAGCAAAGTAAAATGGTCGGGAGAAATTCAATGGAGAAAGCTCTGAGAGAAACACCGGGACTCGCTACCTATCATATCAAAATTAATTCACATATTCCAATCAATTTAATCCAACTCTCTACAGCCAGGATATCATGAATGTGCTAGCTATCCCTGTCGGGAATTACTACGTACTAAACAATAATTAAATCAAATCCTACTGTCGTAGCTCAATGACTTAATTATTTAGCCTGAAGATCGATATCCTATTTAAGACTGCATAGCACCTTATTTAATCCACTGTCGCTTCGATAAGTTACTATGTCACATGAAATAGGTTCAGTTATTAGGGTTTCACTGTCGCTAATAACCTAATTAACTACAAATCGATGTATTGGTGGCCAGTCAACACAAAGCATTAAGCAATTCCATGCAATAGATATTCGAAGAAAAGAATTATGAATCAATCCATCAAATCAACAAATAGCTACATCCTATGGTGTTTCCCCCAAAAATCGGGGTTTAGTTCATGACGAAATCAAAAGATATAATCATGTTCATAATAATCATGGTACGAATCAAAACAAAAGGAAAAGAATATTGAGATTTTCTTCCCCGCTGCTCTGATCGCGATCCCCCGCTCTCGTTTCCAAGTCGCGCTACTGCTTGCTCCGCTTCCCTGCGCTGTCTTGCTGCCTTTTTCCAAAAGAAAATTGTTTTTATTTCTCCCGGCTGCGCTGCGCCCTCCTCCTCCAATAATTGTTTCCGCCACCAGAGATAATTCCTTCCCCAATTCCGCCCCAACTAATTCCCAAGTTTCCCTCCTTAGCCCTGTCCACCTTTTTCCCTTTTATTTTGTTCGCCGCCAGCAAATTCCTTCCCCCAAAATTAATCCCTAGCAATTAAAAGTCCACAGGCCAAAAATTCCCCTCACTACAGGACAATCAAGTTGGGCCAAATAAATCCTCCCCTTCAGCCAAAAACTTCCGCCCAGGTCTCGCCTTCTTCTTCAATTCCGGTCCAAGTCTATTCAAGACTTGTGTAGCTGTTGCAGCTCATCGGGCCCAAAAGCTTGCTCCGGGTCCAAGTCATTTTGCGGCCAATATATATGTTCGTTCTTTAGACATTTGCCTGCCCATCAATTTCCTCTATTTCTTCACCTGAAATACACCAAAACTCTAATATCGAATGGTAATGGCTTTTATAACCATTCCATTGTCAATTGGCCTTCGAACAAGCATTATATGTCTCAAACATATCATGAAATAATCACATTAAGTACATGATACTAATATGTTTTCGACAATTATCAGTAGTCATCTTTCTCCACTCGGCCACCTTCGAATGCGGGCAGTAGCAGGTCATGAATTTGTTGAGAAGATCATCCTATGAGGTGATTGAACGAGGTGGGCGGTTGTTTAGCCACCGGATTGCTTTCCCCGCAAGTGAATAGGAGAAAAGCCTTAAATGCAAAGCTTTAGCCGCCATGCTATTGATTTTCAAGCTCCCCCCCGAGCTCGAGGAATCTCTGCACATGCTCTCTTGGTGACTCACTCGGAAGACTGTGGAACAAAACATTATTATGTATCATAATCACTAGAGCCGGCGTGATCTCGAAATTGTTGGCCACCACGAGAGGGTGCAAGATTGGCGATTGAATGTTTGCCATTCGTGGGGCCATATAGTATCCCATTATCCTTGGGGCTTCCTCTTCCGCCGCCGTATCATTTAGATTACGAGTTTGGCCGGCTCCCGCTTCTTTTTGGCTCCCCGCCATTTCTACTCAAATGTCGGGTTCACCTTTCACTTCTTCAACTTCTACTCCACTAACACCGGGACCAAATTGTTGTCCCTTTTTTTAGCTTCTTCCCCTTTCCTCCGCTAGCTCCCTCTCCCGTGCTAGGAGTCGAAGAGTTCAGTTTACGTACTCGTCACGGGGTAGCAAAGGTGTCGGATTGCTCCGGGTCATTCATCTCCCTACAACACACAATCAGAAAAAACACCAAGTCTAGCACAAGCAAAGAATTCACACTTTCAACCAATGACTATGACTCTTTTCATAATCCATTTCAGTATTTCACATTCACAAGTGCTGCATGCATCACCTACAGTGGGTCACTTTCAATGGCTGCCATTGTTACTTTGTTGGTAGTTAGTTGGGAGAAGTACAAGAACCAACCATTGATATAACTGGAAATTTCACCACTTTCTCAATATTTTCCCCTCTCGTCACTCATATCCAGATCCAGTGGTTGTAACTGGACTTTCGTAACTACTCATGTAAGAGAGATAATAATCACATAGAAGATTGTTCCAAACGCAAGAAAGAAAAATATATATAATTTTTTGGGCTAATACCACTAGGAAATCCGAACTATGAATAAAGTGTCATTTGTGTCCCAAACTATGCAATATTCCATTTATGTCCCAACGTATGATAGTTTTTTGTCATCTATGTCCTGACAATTTCATTAACGGTTATTGATAACAGTTCACTAGACGGTGGTCACCTTGATGTTGACTTAGGAGCAGAATTGACGGAGTGATTAAGATGATTTAGAAAAATAGTTTATGACATAAATATCATATTGAATAGTTCGTGACACAAATGACACTTTCTTGATAGTTCGGGTTTACCAGTGGTATTATCCCTAATAATTTATATTTTTCTCCCGAAATAAGAAGGCAAGGCATTGAAGGACAGTATAATGGTGAATTTGTAAAGGCTCCAATCATCTTAGAAGTTATTCTAGCTGAATCCATTTCTTATTCTTCACGATGAATTTCCAAACACAACTACATACCACTATAATTTGGTTCTGGAGTTTCAATCTTTAAGAGTGCCATCACGATTCATGACCTATTTGATTTTCCATATTTAACATTTAAGGTGTCACTGGGAATTTCCAAGATGGTCACTTTCTCCTTGGAATTCAATCCCATGATCAACATTCCCTCCCCCTTTCCAAAATCCAATCTATTTCAACAACCAATTATTACTATATTACGACCCATATATAACCCTGCCCTTGACACACACATAAAACAGCTTGAATGAAGCTGATGCAGTTCAAAACTATAGATGGTTTCCAATATAAAAAAAAATCAAATATAGCATGCATAGATCATGCATTTGAGTTTTCAATTGTTCTAGCCTTAGTATTACCGGAAAAGAAAAAAAACACACCAAAGTAAGCTTGAAGTCATGCAGAAGCATTTTCTGCCATTCAGTCACTTACTATATCGATGGTGAAACTGTTATGGAACTTAAAGAAGTCATATTCATGCCTCTAATGGGATTAATGAAGGGTTTGACAAATAAGACAAGAGAAATTAAAACTGCAACAACTTCTTCGTCTTTCCTACTTTTCAGTCTCCATCCTTCTGCTCCTCAAGCTACACATCTAGCATTTGTAATGACTTACACATTTGCCTGCTAAAGAAGAGGGCTTATCTCCTCCTTTAGTACATATCCTTCTTCTTATTTTTCTCCTGCAACCCTACAAAAACGCTTAGAGGAGGGAAATCCTCCTTCTTCAGAAGCGACTCTGCTTCTCTTGCAACCTTACATGGCTTCAGTGTGCAATTGCTTACTAAAGGAGGGAAGTCCTCGTTCTTAAGTTGATACTCTTCTTCTCTTATAACCCTACAGGGCTCAACCCCAGAGACACAAACTAAAGGAGGGAAATCCTGGTCTTCTTCTTCTCTTGAAACATTACAGGGTACAACAACATAATTGCCAACTAGAGGAGGGAAATCCAGCTTCTTTAGTGGGCACTCTTCTTCCCTTGAAACACTATTGGGCTTAATCACATAACTGGGTAGGGGAGGGAAGTCATCTTTCTTCAATTGATACTCTTCTTCTTCTTCTCTTACGACCCTAGAGAGCTCAACCACATGAGGAGAAAAGATGAGAATTTAGGATTGCACTACATAAATACAAAAGGGAACACATCCAAAAAAAAATTCCATACCTTACTTCCTCCAGCTTCTCATGTTCTGTCATTTGAATTCTAGAAAATGCCATCCTGACTGTGAAAAGAGAGTCATCAACTTCGTCCCAGTAAACTGATGAAGCTGCTAGGTCATATGCTAGGAACGATGGTGATGATGATTCACTTGAAGTCTTGAAATTTGTAGGCCCAGAGGAGGAACCAGATCTGGGCTGGTGCAACAAGCCATCATTAAAAACATGATGCACCTGGTTATCACTGAATAAAATGGATGAATCATTGATGGAGGAAAGCACAGGGAAATTCGCTTGTTGGAGATCAACCCAACTGTTGCAGTTCTGTCTATTCGCATGTTCAACAGGTTCAGCTTGATCAAGGATCTGGTAACTCATCTCGAAAGATTGACATGGTGGTCCCTTATTAAAAAAATCTTGATTCTCCAGGGTCTTCATCCTGGACCATATTTCTTTATAACGATCCTGCAACAACTGAGTTTAAATGTTTGACTAAAATAGATAAGGTGGGTATTTTTGCTACTGTATTGTAAACAGTGAGAGTATCTAGACTTACCATATCAGGGATGTATGTTCCTGTACCTCTTAAATTTCCTAACCCATCAATGCCAGTAGTACAACGTTTTGAAGGGCAAGGACAAAGCCCTGGCAGCCCTCGTTGCAAGAATGCCTTTGTGCCTTTCTGAGGATGACCATTTTGCCCAGTCCAAGAAAATATGTTACTCTTCTTTGACAAGATTTCTGAAAGAGATGACTGCTTCGAAGGGATGTTATGGAAATGATCAGGTAGTCTATAATTGTGATACCACTGCCCCTGCAGCAAACCACTATGGCATCTGTCATAGTCTCCACTGAGATCACATGCGTCACTTCTTCCAGTACCAAATGCAGGCACGGGACTGTTAGCATCAGCTCTTTGTCCTGTCCCATTCCTGCCTAGAGTGTTGGTAAAAAATTTCTCCAACCCCTTGCCTATATATTCTCCTGGTCCGTTGAGGACTGCTCGAAGCATCTGAGCACCATAGGAAAAGGCACATTTTATCCGGTGGAAATTGCCTAGCAAAGGAAGAAATGCAATATAAATAAGCTTAACATGCATCTGAAGAGAAATTTACATAAGAATTTCAAATGAGTTCGAAATAATAACCCGATATTCTTGTATGACATTCAGACATGTAAATGAATGCTACAGTGTAATGTATTGCGGAAAAGTCAGAACAAAAACTTTACAAAACTAGTGATGTATGGCAGAAAACATGATTTTTCTTTCCATAACTATGGGTATTCACAACATACGAGGGTTAAATATTATTTCATGGCTAGAAACAAAGTAGGATGTCATCAGGTAATATAAAGATTTGTGCCATCATGGCAACTCAACAGAAAATGGAAAAATTCATTATTTCTTGTGAGACGCTAATAGATGCCTCAATATAAAGGTACATGTTATATGATTATTGGATAAATCGCATACCTCGACTAACACTTCGCCCCAAATTGTTGCTATAACTTAACGGGTCCATGATGTTGATGTGCTTAACAACAAATTCATGCCTCCCACTGTCAAGTTCATTAACAGGAATAGCAAATGTTTCCTTGCAATAGTTGTAAAAGTCAGGCTCAAGCAACAATCGACTTCCATTCTCAACAGGTAGCTCCACTGCGACAGAACAAAGACACATCACAAGCGAATATGCAAAAGTGTATAAGTGATGAGTACACTTCTTCCCATAATTTCAACACTTACCCACTATATCTGGAAGAGAAGATATTTTAATTACGCCATTTATGCAGACACCATGATTGTCCCAGTCAAAAGAACTATAGTAGTCCAAAAATTTATACAGCACCTGGGAACAATTACCAAGGTTGAATCACTAACAGAACAGTAAATTGACATAGAGTTAGGCAATTTGTAATGTCACTCACTGCTAAAGGACCATTTAGGGATGAATGGAATATGTTAAATATATGCAGGACCAACATTTCCAAAGCATATGTCGAGATCAATCCATGGTATGCACCAAGGATTCTACTTTCGTAAAAGCACCAGGTTTTTATCAAGATAATACTCCGCTTCAAAAGGTGATCTTTCCCCATAATTTGGTCAGCCTGAGAAATAATTAAAATAAGATGTCTGTCAGAGTGCATACGACTAGAATATAAATAACTACATAACAGAATGATATGTTGAGCTTTAGGGAAAGGCATGGATTAGCAACAAAGTAGTATAATTAATTATTTTTACAAGTTCATAGGAGGCGAAATAACATCAAAAGTCATACCTTAAAGGAAGTCGAAATATGAAGTTAAAATTTTGCAATATGAAAAATAAATCACATATGAACCAAGTTCGTGACTTTTTGGTTTCCAACAAAATGAGGCATCAATTAACGTAAAAAGCTATACTTCCATGGGTAGAACCATAAGCAGTCCTCGACTATATACTACCCCCAACACACACACACACACACACACAGCTGAGATGAGTGCAATTTGCCAAGTTGAACACAACATTAAATGTACTGTTATAGTGCGCTTCAAAATTGGGAACTAATATTTGCCATTTCTTACCAACTCTAGAAAGCAGAGAGCAGAAAGGCCTGTCATTTGATTGAAAGAGATATCCACAGAGATGTCATTCACCAAAAATTTTAAGATCTTGACCTGCCATAATCCCGCCAAAACACACATCAGTCATTATCACATGGTTGCTTACTGGAATTAGTGATGACAATTCAAGTCTAAAAGAACTGCATGATCAAGAGTGACGAGTTCAGCAAGCAAGTAGAGATGTTGAATCAACAAAACTTAATTGCTTCCAAAATAAATTATCACTTAATGAAATAGGGCTTCAACCATGTGTATCATGCATCAATAAGGTGATTATGAATGGAAATGCAGCACCACTAGCAGCATTCAAAAACAATAAGAATTTTCATAAATTTGATCAGTCGTAGTCGTGCTCCTCATTATATTAACATTAAAGCTTTCTTACTCGTATTAAAAAAATTGAAAATTCAACTCATAATTGGTTTTCATACACCATTTACTCAAATAGATGTCATACGTTCTATAAAATGTATTCAAATGGCCATTATATGCAGTTTACTTATGATTACCAACTTAAATGAGAAAGATAAGCCTGAAAGTTTTTCTACACAATCATTTGGGGCAAATACCTATGAAGATGTCCACCTATCTTCTCTAAATACCAACTATAGTGCATGTTCAAAGTTTTCTTTACCTGACTTCCTTGTGGTACAAACTATGGCCATAATCATTTGAAAATTTCCCTGGCAAATATCAAAATAAGCTAGTGCTCTAAACATCCAAGTTTTTAAATATGCATGCTTTACACAACTTCACTAACTTACCTGCTCCTAATCACTTGATATTTCCATTATAAATAAAATTTGGTGGACAATTGGTATGTTTCCCCCTTTTGCTTAGATCTTCTTAGTAAAAGTATTCCTTTGTAATTTTTTAATAGGTGATTAATACCATTAGTCAACTGCATTTCAAAGGCCATATAGTTATTGGAATATCACCAACCACAAGTAGAGACAAACAATTTGGGTCTTCAAGTGTAAGGGTCAACAAGTTTGCAGGGAAGACGGGAGAAACTTGATGAATAAGCAAAGACACCACAAGAGTTTCAACAAGACAACGTATAAAAGCTTTTCCTTTTTCAGTCACAAGTGGGAATAAAAAAATACCAGCCAATAGAACAAACAAGTAGATATGATCCCACTATAAGGACGCAATGAGATGTGGTAGTAAGTTTCCCTCATAAGCATGTTTTGTAATAAGATTTGAAAAAATTCATCACATTTACCATTTATCTGCATGAGCTAGACCCTCATATCAAGGTCATTTAGTAAGTTATGAAAAAAACAAAGGTCTTATTCAACACTAAAGTAATGAAAAATACAAGGTTATAAGAAAACTTAAAGATAGCTAGGGAAGTCTAAAGTAAAGTTGTTCCTGTACTAACACCAGGTTATTTAACTTGACGTGGATAACCGACCTAAAGATCTAGTATAAAGTAAGTGATTAGAGAAATTAACCTGTGCTTCTATATATTGTACACTCTTCACGTCAAACATTGGGTCGTGCTCATGACCTTGAAGGATATCAGAAATACCCTTAGCCAATCCTTCCTCTATACTCTGGTGGGTGAGTATAGTCAAATCAATGTCTCCATCTGGAAGATAGGTTTTCAAGGGTACTGATCCAAACGCAAAAACCTGTAAAAGATGGCAAATGTAGAACCAAATCTTTCTCAATGAATAATATGCATGTCTTTGCGGCTCTAACATAAAATTGCATAAGAAAATAAGAAATGTGACATAATTTCCTAGATCGTCATCTATTAATTACAATCAGACATAAAAAAGTGAATTTGATGATGCACGTAGATACACAAGGAAGTGTTTAACCCCTATTTTCTAGAGAAATAACTTGCAAACCCATAGCAACAACAAAAAAAAAATAGCACGAGAAAGATACTACTGATTGAGACAGTTTTAAATAAAAGGCAATATTGTAGCGACATCACCTTCTGACATTTAGGAAAAGATTCTTAAGTCAAATCTAGTTAACCAATTACAAAAATACTGTAAAAAAAAGTCACCGTCAGGTGACGCTTCTTATGCCTAATTTAGTAAAGCCATAAGGGCATACCACGTGTTGTATTGCGCCTCCATTTCTCCACGTGGAACTTAGAAAAGTAAATAAAGACAGATCCAAACTTTTCAGCAAAATTGTAAAATCACGTACGCCGTTAATGGGGGGAAATTAGCCAAATAGTAGGAAATGAAGTCAATCATTAAATAAGGAGCAGCAATAAAGGGTTATAAAGCACAAAGAAGTACAAATAAATACATCAACAAAAGGAAGTGGAAATGTAATGAGTTTAGTATGACTATGTGAACAAACAGTTTGAAACAAGCCTAACAATCAAACGCTGCAGGCCAACCTCTTATCATTCAAAGACTACAACCATGGTGCTTAGTAATCTTTAATTTTGAGAACAAAAGAAGAAGAAACTCTACATGGATGATTCAGTATCACAAGCGATATTCACCAACAAGCAAACTCCTAACTAAGGAACACGACATCCAAAATCAATCTTGACAAACTAAATGGGAGATACAACCCATAAAGTTGACCTAGTGATAATGGGGTGAAATCCTCCACTCCAACCTAGATTCATTATTGCCACAACATGACCTACCAAAGAAATAACTAATGGACAGAGATGATTACAGGATCTAAAAGAAAAGGGACAACAGTCTAGATAGAACTCTCACCTCACAACTATAATGAGCTTTAATTAACCTTGAAATGTATGAAATAACCTCCTCCCTTTTCTTCTCAGAAGCCGAAGCAGGTTGAATGCAAGACAATATCTCATAGATTCTATGCTCAGCCATGAACCAAAGTTCTGAGTCAATTGACAACGGATTAACTTCAAGCATCGGGGAGTAAAAGGTTGATGAGGTTAAAGCTGATAAACTCCTAAGATCTTCCATGATTTAAAAAGCTACTCAATTTTGATGTTCCTGCAAGAGTAGAGAAGAGAAAAATCCCCTGAAACCTCATCAAAGCTATGCCCCATTATCAGTCAGGAGATCTGAAAACACCAAGGCAATAATTGAAATTTGAGGCTATATGAACACAATAAAATGATATTGAGGGAGGAAAAGAATAGCAAGCAAGCTCGAACCTTGAGTGTAAAATACACTGCTTAAAGCAACGGGCCTTAACCTGTTGCACTGTAAAAAATTCGTAATGATTGTGTTTTATAGATGGATGAAGGCACTTCTCATGTTTGTGTCAAAATCTAGCACTCATTCTTCAATTTTTCATGTGCAAAGAAACACAAGAAGAAGCCTACACCAGGGGGAAAGGATAAGAGATGCAGTATATCTGGTTCCACATGGGAATCAGAGTGTCAATTGAGCTTTAACTGAGATTTCATATTTCAAGGAGAAAACATGAGAAAAAAGGGAGTCTCCATAGAATAGCCAAACAGAAATGAGGACATAAGTGATAATAACTAGGATGGAAAGGGTGACCCACTTTATATCACCTTCCCCTTTACTCAATTCAAAAAAGGAAGATCCAAAGGGGCATATGTCAAGTGAAGAATGTAATGAAAACAAGCAAAGAAAAGAAGTGAATATATCTTGTTCTTGGCCAGTCTTGCATGTCCACAAGAATATTTTTTTAGGCTTAGATGCCCAACTGAGAGAACAGGTTAGAAAGAGTCTGTTCAGTCGTGAGTGAATCTGGAGAATTTATTGGCAGAGCAATATCTTCTTCATTAATAGGCCAACAATCAATACATGGTTAGAAATGTCAGAAATAAGTCTTTGATAGTAAATTTGTATGGTTACCATATATGTGATTTATCACTTTTAACAAATATGCATAATTCTAACTTTCTTATTTTTCTTCTTACCTTATATTTCACATATTGAATGCTCACCATAATCATGAGAAAGCAAAATCAAAATTTAAAAACTCCTTTGAAGCTAAATCTGACATTATCAGCATAGATACAACCAACCAATTGAATTTATTACATGAAACTGCACACTGAGTTTTGCTTCACCTGATATCTCAAGGCATTTCCAATACTCATTTAAGATTTGCCTCAGTTGGGCTTCCCAACTGAACAAAACTGTGTTGTAGTGAACCTTCTTCATGAAGTACAAGTGTTAGTTCTCTAGAAAAAACAGGTGTACGATTAGAGAAAATATTTTCAGTAGGTGAACAGACTCATCCAATAAAAAGGTGAGGAACATGCCATATGTCAAAGACGTTACAATGCCTTCACTCATGTGAAAAAAACTTTTCTTTTGTGCCAAAAATAAGCTGAGATTCTCTCTCTTCATGTGTAAGGTTCAAGCTGAGATTTAAATTTTCCGTACTTCCCTCCTCTTCTTCTAGGTTTCCAAGGCTTTTACCGTTCTTTACAGGATGTTAACAACTTAAATACCGTTTAAGTTATTTAAAAATTACCATTTTACAAAGGGCACGAACTACCAAAAAAATTGTACTTTGTAAGGTACGAGACTATTCTTATGTGTTATGCGATGTATGTTGCATTATAATCTCTAATTTATTGGATCAATCTTTAATATTTTCAATCACAGAGAAAAGTACTCTTCTTTTTATCATATCTATTATGGGATTAGAGGTGTCAATCAGGCGGGGTTGGGTTCGGGTTGGGTTCACTCGGTTAAGGGTAGTCGTGTTTTGGGTTCATTGTGTTACGAGTTTATAGGATTACGTGTCAGTCGAGTTATGGGTTGGTCAGGATACGAGTCATTCGGGTTATGAGTTTATTGGAATTTTAGACAACCTATTTCTAAATTATTTATGTACTTACAAATGTTTTTTTTTTGTAAAAGTATTTATAAAAGTTAAAAAAAATTCTTAGTGTTAAATTAATTTTGTAGTATGATTGAGTTATTGCAATGATATGACTTAACAGACCAATCTTGACCCTCATTTTTAAACTAAAAAGAAACGCTAGCACACCTTAAATAGGCCTAATCATTACTTTAATACTTAATAACCGTCCTGTAATGCAGAAATTGCAACGAATGTGGAAGCATATAACATAAGAGATTGGTTTATTTTGATAAGATGACTCATGATAAGTTCTGAAATCTATTATAATCAATTAGCCATGCCCTATATGTCTATAATAAGGTTTAATATAGATTATGTCTTAGTTACTAAATGTTAAACTGTTAACTTCATAACTATAAAGATTGTGATAATCACATTAGTAAATAATTAAGTTTACAATCTATAATATAAAATAACCTACATTGAGATAGTTCGAGTGATGTTATTAAGATAATATAATTCATTATATGTTCCCAAGTCTACTACATCCAATGATGCATTGCTCTATAAGACAATAATAAGGTTTATTGTAGACAATGTCTTAGTCAATAAATATTAAATTCCTAAACCATCATATGTAAACATTGTGATAATCAAATTGATAAGTAATTATGTATATGGCTTATAATGTAAAATAACATTCATTTGTGATAATTTGATTGATATTATATTCAAGAAGAGATAACTCATGATAGGTTCTCAAATTTCATAAAGTCAACTAGTCATATGTAAACCTGTATTGTTAAACCATTAAACCATCATATGTAAACATTTTGATAATCAAATTAATAAATAATTATGTATATAATTTATTATTAAAATAATATTCATTTGAGATAGTTCGAGTGAAATTATATTCAAGATAAGATAAATCATGATAGGTTATCAAATTTAATATAGTCAATTAGTCATTCCATATTAGGATATAATATAGTCAATTTACATTGCTATCCCCATAAAAACTCATGATTCATTTTGAAAGACAAATTTTGAAAGTTGAAACACCAAAAAAGCTGAAATCATAAGAACAAATTCTTCTTTCTTTTCACCCAAAATTGGAAAACACCAATATTTCACATCTTTCTCTTACCATAGATTAAAAGCATTCAAGTTTCTCTTTTCTTTACCTTAAAAAAAAATGAAACACCAAATTTCCTCCTTTTCTTTCCCAAAAAGTTGAAACACACAAAAAATTCTCTCTTATTTCTCTTACCATAAATAAAAAAACACAAAATATTCTCACTTCATTCTCTTCCCATAAATCAAAAGCACCAGAATTCTCCAATCTTTATATTTTCAAAAATTGAAAAATCCAAAATTTCCATTTCTTTCTCTTACCAAAAATTTGAAAATTCCAAACTTCCCCCTCTTTTATAATAATCAAATTATTAAAAATATTGCTTTATTATATTTATATTTAATTGATAGATTTATTAAATAATTATATAAATCAAAATTTTAATGTATATTAGTATATTAATGTTATGGATTGTCCCAAGTTTTAATTATTCATGATCATTTTGGTATATGCTTATTTATATTTCTTATTTATTTTTTATTATTTTCTTAAAGAAATTGATGTTCAAGTAAACTTCATCTTTTAATTTTTGTAATAAAAAAATTATTTCTAGTGAGTTTCATATTTTGAATATTTTTTACAAAAAATAGCCCGAACCGATAACCCGCCTGATCAACCCGACCGCAACCCGAATTGACTAAAAGTCAACAACCCGTAACCCGCCCGACGCGCAACCCGGTTGACCCGCAACCCAACTAACCCGCAACCCGACTGACCCGCAACCCGATTAACCTGAACCCGACTAACCCGCAAGCCGATTAACCCGAACCCGACTAACCCGTAACCCGACCGACTCAACCCGAACTTCAACTAATCCGCTTGAATAATTATTATAATATAAAATACATAGTTTTTCAAAAAAAAAGTTTTTCATTCTAAACTTAATAAAATTATTTTTCATTTCGTATAGGGAATTTAAAAAATATTAAACTCACTTGATATTATGTATTTTAAGAAAATTACAAAAATTGAAACATAAAGGTCACTTGAACACTAAGTTGTTTAACAAAATTAAAAAGTAAATATAAAATATAAAATCAACATAATGTCAATATTAACAATGAAGAATTAATAATTGAGATCATGGACAATATTAATATAATATATAAATTAAAATTTTGGTTAATTTAACTATTCAATGAAATTATCAATTAAATATAAATAAAGTAAAGTAATGTATTTGGTAATTTGATGTTTTTAAAAGAAGAGGGAAATTTTGGTGTATTCAACTTTTTGGGAAGAGAAAGAAGAGGGAAATTTGGTTCTTTGAATTTTTTAGAAAAAAACAAGTGGAAATTTTGATGGTTTTGATTTGTGGGAAGAGAAAGAAGTGGGAAAGTTTGGTTCTTTTGATTATGAAAGAGAAATAAGAAGAGAAATTTTGAGTTTTCAACTTTTTGTGGAATGAAGGAAGGAAGAGAGAAATTGTGTTCTTTCAATCTTATGGAAGAGAAAGAGGAGGGGAAATTGAGTGTTTCTAATTTATAGAAAGAGAAAGAAGGGGGAAAATTTTAGTTTTTTTTTTTTTGTGAAAAGAAAGAAGGAAACAAATTTGGTGTTTTCAATTTTTCGGTTTTTCAAAATTTTAGCCTTTGAAATATGAATCTTTAATTTTTATATGGAGGGCATGACTAGTTAAATTTATTCTTATATGCTTTGAAGGCTAATATATATATATATATATATATATATATATTTAATTGTTTATGGACTAATAAATAAATTAACCATTAGTTACAAGAATTATACTTAACTTGATAAGTAATCTTTGACGGTTCGTTGTTTAGGGTATAAAGTATATGGTTAGGGTATAGGGTATAAGGTACAGATGGTTTAGGGTGTATATGGTTAGGGTATAAGATATTGATGGTTTTGATGGTTCTAAGTTTTTTATTAACATATGTTCACTTAAAGTCATTTGAAGTCTTTAACGGCAGGAGATGCCTTTTTAATTTATGTTCATAGTATGTGGTTAGGGTATAAGGTATGTAGTGTAGAGTATAGGATATATGGTTAGGGTATAGCAATTAGAAAATATCACTTTTTATCTATATTTTGAAAATCAAATTATGAATTTCACTTTTAAATTAACTGTACTAGCAAAATCACAACTCAAGGACATATGGTTAAGGTATAGGGTATGTGGTTAGTGTATAATGTATTGATGGGTTAAGAGTATACAATCAACAACATATACTAACTTAATATTGTCGATTGAGAGTAAGACTAAGTGTATAGGATATATGTTATTGAGTAACTTATGATTGAAGTCACAATAATTTTACTAAATTTGACAGTTAATCTTTAATGGTTAAATTTTTAGGATAATTCAAACAATTTTACAAAAAACTCGTTTGGCAACAGCTTACTGAAGTTATTTGGGAAATGAGTTATTTCGAAATAACTCCTTCTATCACCCTACTTTTGCCAAATACCAGATTTGCATGGTTATACCAAACGAGATACTTTAGTCCAATTACTACTTAATTAATACTAAAATATCAAATAAACTATTAATAGTGTCTTTTCGTTGTAAATATTTATATCGCCATTACTATTAGTTAGTGTACTTTACCAATTATGATTAATTACATAACAAGTTTGCAAGTCATACAAATTGATTTAACATTTTGACTAGTTTTTTTTTTTAAATTAAGTATATATATATGAGGTAGAAATAAATTGGTAGAAAATTTGAGAAAATATTTTAAATTAGTGAAATAAAATGTGTAAGTTGGTAACGAGTAATGAGTAAGTTACTCGATGCGCTGGCCCGAACGACCCGAAACCCGATCCGCCTGCAACCCGCCCGACCCAAAACCCGATGAACCCGCAACCCGACTAACCCGCAACCCGCTTGAACCCGAACCCGATGAACCTGAACCCGAAGAACCTGCAATCCGATTAACCCGCAACCCGTTTGAACCCGAACCCGATTGAACCCAGCCCGAACCCGCCCGATTGACACCTATAGTTATACATACAAAGTACAGTTTTTTTATCCAAACTTAATACATCTTAATATTTTGTTCCTCAAACTAAATTTTTACACATAATTTCTAAAAATATTGATGAAAAATTACATTTTACTATCTAAAATTTTTCTCTTACATTTTGTGGCATCAATTTTGTGGTTTGTGGCCTGATTTTGGGGTGTAGATTTTGTGGGGTGGATTTTGTCGGGAGGATTTTGTGGTTTGTGGTGAGGATTTGTGAGGTGGATTTTTTTCCTTCCTCCTTTAATGGCACAAGACACACGTGACTCCCCCTTCCCGCATTATTAATGACCAGCGTGCCCCTCCGCTTCTTCCGCTTCATTAATTGTGGTCAACTTATTTAAATGAAAAGTTCATTCAAACGAAATATTCCTATTAATTGGAGCTAGTATTAACATCGTGCTAACAAAAAAAGTGTTAGCACATTCACCCATCCGTTAAATAGGCCCATAATACTTCTTGCCATTAAAACCATACTTAACTACCCTACTTCTTTAAAAAAACTCGTTTTAACTCATTTTTAGAACAATTTAAAATTCATTTAAAATGGTAACTGCATTAATACATAAAAAAACACCAGACTACTCCTATATTAGTCTAGAAACATAAATCACCGTTTCTCACTATTTTAATAGTCAAAAAATGGCTCTGACAGCTCGCCTCTGTGTGACCTGGTTGAACAGAGCCTCATTCCTTGATGGGATGCTACCAATCTCCGTGATTGATTTTATATTATCACCATTATTTTCGATCTTTGGT